TATGGGGAGGGTAATCCAGATTTTATCAGTACTCTGGAAACTACATTTAGTAAAGGCAGGGAACTGTTCGCACTGGCTCTGAACCAGGAGAAGGAAAAAGCTAGGAATGTTATTTTCTACTATTGGCCTCGGATACGAATTCGTGCACATTGAAAGGAACTTAATTGGAATAAATATTTTAATATCGATATTTGCTCTTTCTCTATAATAGAAGTGTCAACCAAATTCACAATTGACAATGACAGACCGAAACATACATGTGTAATTGGCGCCAGTGAAAGCTTTATATGTATTGCACCTGCACGGGTCAACTTAGCCACACACACACACACACACACACACACACACACACACACACACAGTGAGTGGCCAGATTATTATGATCTCTGAATGCATAATGATCTGGCCATTCATTATATCTATTAGAGGCCTAGCGCATGAATTCGTGCATGGGTGGGATCTGGCCAGCCTGGCCAGAGGCAGGGGACATGAGCAATTGGCCAGCCTGCTTGCTGGTCGAACTCCTGGCAGTTTTAATTAAGCAAGTTTATTCTACACGAGTGGCCAGATTATTATGATCTCTGGACACATAATAATCTGGCCACTCAGTGTATATCCTATATAATAAAGGTTAATATGCAAATTGTCCCCTCAACCAGGAGTTCTCGGGGGGAAAGGAGTGTGGGGGGTGCAGGAAGAGACTGGACAAAAATCATACACCTATGGATGAGGACAGTGGGGGGGGAGGTAAGGACATGAGGTGGGGTGGGGACCTGGTGGAGGGTAGCTATGGGGGGAAAATAGGAACAACTGTAATAGTCTGAACAATAAAGATTTAAAAAGAAAATCTTTCACAAGAACTTCATGACATTGTTCATGCTGTCAGTTATACAGAGTAATGTGCTTGGTGGCCTGTGGCGTTGGTTTGTGTCAGTTGAGCAGTCATTAAGAGGAAGACAAAGTACTGCCTTCATGGTCTCTCTCTGCCTTGGCTCAGGCCTTCATTACTGCACTTGGGGTTGGTGTGCTCAGAACGGGGGTGACCTCCCGTTGTCTTCAGGCACTTTTTACTTCACAGCTTCCAGAAGGGAGAATGATTACTGAGATCAGCACAGCACTTAGGCATGGTCTACCGGGACCTGGCATTACACTGCTCACAACAGAAGTCTTTACTTAAAGAATAGCTTTTCCTGCGAAAAATTAGTTTTAGACTTACATTTATATTACAGATTTAACACTCCAGACACTTTTGTCTGAAGTATAATCTTACTAAAAGTCACCATCTACCTAATCCCTCCCCAAATTGTATCATTTTCAGTTCTACATTTTTAAAACCTTTTCTGATTTAATAATTGGTCAAAAGATCTTTTATACAGTGTTTAAAGTATATCTGTCTTTGTTCTTATCCAGTTCTGTAAAAGCCAATGGTTTTATGCTTAAGATTTCCAGTTGTAAAGTTAATGAAGCATTATGAATTTAAGGTGATTTTAAAATCTGTCTTACCTACATGTATTTAATAAGCAAGACCTCCATAAATCTTTTTCATTTAGATAAAATTGAAGTTCTAGATTTTAAAGTGAAACCATTAAGTTGATGGTGTAGTTACAGAAATATTACACATATGTTAAAATTGTATGTTAAAATTCTAAATTATATTTGTTTTTTATAATAGAGCTGGAAAAATAGATACTTTATAAATATTTTACTTATTAATGAAATAAAAGTACTAAATAGAAAGTTACAAGTAATGCTGTGTCTAAGGGGGTTCTGTAAAAATTTATAAACTTAGGATATCTAAAAAATTGTAGGTTAGTGGAGATATAAATGGAGTGGTTTCTAGTCATAGACGAGACATTGAGGATTATTTCTTTAAATTTGGTATGTTTTCAAAGTGTCATCTCTCATTGAATGCTTTCGCTGTAACTGGATGACTCATTATTTTGCCAATAATGTTTGGGATTTATTGAAATATTAAAATATAATAAAAGTTCCATAAAGTAAATGAGTTAAAAACAATTTTAAATGATTTATTTCTCTTATTGTTTATACAGAGGTTCCCCCAAAGGTTTTTATCCTATAGAAACTGGAAATTATATAGGCTACTTGTACATAATTTCAATATGATTATTTTGCCCATTACCTTTGACTAAAGTTAAGAGATTTTCTTTCTGTTTTTCATAGATATACTTGACCTAAATTTTATTATACCTAAAACATATTTTTACCAATAGTTTCTTATATGGTATTGTGTTTTGTTTTGTTTTCAGAGAAATGAGGGTTTACAAAAGAAAGATACTCTTTCATGTTCTTGATTTTTTTTTTTTTTAAGGAAGAAAGTCTTAAATTCTGTATTTAACTACTTTTCTTTAAAGTTTAGAATAACTTTTAATAATCTCTCTACCCTCACTATTTATTGGTATTCATTTGCATTACCTTAAGTTTTACTTAATTGAATGAAATTTTATTTTTACTAGGATAGTGTTTAATGGTAAATTATATAGAGGTGTTAGAGCTCTTTAACATTTAACATAATATTGAAAGAAGCAATTTTAATTGGATTTGTTTCAGAATACCATTTTAGAAACCAGTTGGCAGTATTAGCAACATCATTATTATATGAATGTATGCTAATGTGGTATGAAAGAAAGACCCTCATTAAAATCTTGTTGCTAAACAAGTGACAAAATCCCTGCAAACAGCTTGAGGCTTTAGGCCAGTCACAGTTATTCCTGAAGAGATTTGGACAAGTGTGAAAATACATAGAATGTGCCTTTATTTTGATCAGAACACATAAATGCTACCTCGCATTAATTCCCTACTAAGGGCATTTCTATTTATGTTAGGGAAAGAAGTATTAAAATAATGAATGCCTAAGCATTCTGTTGTGAATTTATCAGTGTAAAAATATTGTGTTTGTTAAATTCAGAAAGTGGACTTTTGATAATAGCCATTGTGTTTGTGTTTTCCAGAAAAGGACTAGGATTGGTCAACTATGAAATTTCATTAGGCAGAATCTTCCTTATAGACATTAACTGAGTGAACTGGTCCGGAGGTCTCTGAGGTTCCAGGAAGGGGAGGTGGTGCAGGGAGATCAGCCCATGGTTCATCACCACTGCATCATGGCAGTTCCCTTCAAGAAGCCCTTAGCCTGATTTAGTTACTTCTGGGTTACCTTGATGGACATATTCCCGTTGAGTATTGCTCATGTCTTAATTTTTATTTGGGATAATTCTTGCTTCTAGAAAGATAGATTTTACTATACTATAGGTAGAAAAACTAACTTGTGTAGGCATGCTAATGACATTCCACAGTGAAAGTTTTTGATAGTCATGGTCTCTACTGATAATTAGCTGATTATAAGTTTGCTTTGCATTTTTGAGTTGTAGGAAGTCCTTAGTCAAAGCGCACAAACAATGATCCCTTGGTCTGATTTGGCCTGGTATCTAGTTCATTTGCACAGAGAGGATGGAGAACATTTCGTAGTTGGAACAAAAAAGGTATCTGAGTAGATTCAGGAATCAGAGCAGTTGTTGGGACTGCTGAGACTAGTGAACAATGAACTAAAATAAGCTAATCCTATATTTGAAGTGGAATATTATACGTCACCCATAATTTAATGTGATTAGATCCACTAAATTTTTGCATTAAAGTCATTACCTATATCTATCGCCTTTGTTCCTATACTACCATGTATTCTCCAAAGTGTTCTGTGATACTGCAGGTACATACTGGTATCTCTGTTGTAAGGCTCTTGTCCCAGCAAAGTCCCTCTGAGTTTTTATGCATTTAACAAATCTCAATCATTTCCAATTTGCTTGTGATTTAAAAAAATATTTTTGTGATATATTATGTGTTTTCATGGAGTCTCCTGAAATTGCATGCTTGCTTTAAAATAATTATAAATTATATTCCTTAGTAACTAAATGGGTAATACACAGCTCAAGAAAAGGAAATCTTTTTTTTTTTTTAAATATATTTTATTGATTTTTTATAGAGAGGAAGGGAGAGAGATAGAGAGCTAGAAACGTCAATGAGAGAGAAACATTGACCAGCTGCCTCCTGCACACCCCCTACCGGGGATATGCCCGCAACCAAGGTACATGCCCTTGACCGGAATCGAACCCGGGACCTTTCAGTCTGCAGACCGACGCTCTACCTCTGAGCCAAACCGGTTTCGGCAAGAAAAGGAAATCTTGATAACGGTGTATTACAAGTTATAAAAGATAGTCAGAAAAAGTTAATTTTTTACCTAGTTAATTCTCTGTGAGGATGATATAATTTAAGGTTTCTCTCCTTCTTTCTCCCTTCCTCTCTAAAAATCAGTAAACCACATCCTTGGGTGAGGATTAAAAAAACAAGAAAGGGAGTGCCTTTATGCCATAAAGAGAAGACGTAGAGACTGGACACCCGATGTCCATGTCTAGAAACAGCTCCTCTTTTACTTATTTAATATATTTATTAACTAACCTGTATTTAATATATTTATTTTTAAATATATTTTTACTGATTTCAGAGAGGAAGGGAAAGGGAGAGAGAGAGAGAGATATAAAAACATCAATAATGAGCGATAACCGTTGATCAGCTGCCTCTTGCACCCCCCACACTGAGGATCTAGCCCTGACCGGGAATTGAACCGTGACCATTCATAGATTGAAGCTCAACCACTGAGCCTTGACGGCTGAGTGGAAATAGCTCCTCTTTTGCCCTTCTTACTCATTTCTTCTAGAAAAAGCTTTTTCTCTGTTAGAAATCATATTTTTCTACATCCTATCTGTCTCCTCACTCTAAGATGTGGTCCTCTCTCCCTCCTTTCAAATCTATTTCCACAAAATAAGTGACACTCATCTCATTCTGCCTTTCATTCTTGTACATGTCTTTGGGAGAGCATGTGCTGTGTGCCAAACACAGTCTAGGTAATAGATATTAAATTATATCTGTCAGAAATTGTGTGGATATAATTACAAATTATTTTTTTTTTCTTTCCAAATGTTTTATTTCAGATTTTACCAAATGTTGCAAGGAATCTGGGATGCTTATGGTAGTAAAATGCCGGAAAGAAAATTCTGCATTAAAAGAATGTCTAACCGCTTAGTAAGTAGTTACCTCAGTGTTTGTGCTTCTGTGTGTAGATGTATGGAGATGTATGGAGTATATGTAGTAGTAAGAGTATATTATTTAACTCATTCAATGTAATATATTCTGTACCCCCCCCAATCCATCATATTTTTAGCTAAGTCTAAAATTTCAATTTGTTAAAAATTATTCTAAAAATAAAGCAACACATTTATAAAGTGTCTATGTTATATGGGTCAGCATTGTATCTGATTAAATATATGGGGTCAGTAAACAGAAGCATGTTTTTTTTTTTTTTTATTGTTTAAAGTATTATATATCTCTTTTCCCAGATTAACTACCTTGGCCTCTGCTACTCCCACCCCTGAGGGCAAGCCCCACCGCCCCAAAGTCTGTGTCCATTAGTCATGCTAATACACATGCATACAAGTCCTTTGGTTGATCTCTAGGCCCCCCCTGCCTTCTCCCCAAGGTTGGACGGTCTGCTCAGTGCCACCTTGTCTCTGGGTCCATTTTTTTTTTTTGGAGGGGTGGGGGGTTTATGCAACTTTATTGAAGAAAAATAAATCAGTTACTAGCAGACCTATTAGCTGATCACTCATCCATTGACAACTTGCATCATTTATTCAGTGCTATATTAAACAGTGTATTAAAAGATAGATCAACTAATAGCTCCAAGCCTCCTAACAATTTAAATGAAAATTACAAAATGTTTGAGACCCTGTTTTGGAATACAAAGGATATTTGACTTCCAATTTCCATTCTCTGCAGAACAAGAACAGATCATTCCTTTATTGACATGCATAAAATACATCACATTTTCTGTTCTGCTGATGCTATAAATTCAATACCAATTCACCAGCCACATCAGTTATGAGCATAAAGTATATCATGTAACCTCAGATCTCTAACAATGGAAAGCCTAAACAAGAATGGATGCTGCTAGAATAATGCTGTTTCCTTTGATGCGACAACCGAGTCTCCATTTCCCTCCCCCTCAGATGATTTCTTCAGCATGTTAGAGCAGTGAGGAATGGTTTCAACCAAATTAGAGTGAAGACATTGGCCACATATACACATGCTCCATTTAAAAAAAAAAAAAAATCTGAATCTTGGGCAACTGTTCTTTTATAACTACTTTACAGTTTCTAAAAGCAGTTATTGTCCAAAGCTGGAAGAACTTAAGTCTTCTCAGATGAGCATGTGAATGAACGGAGGGAGGTAAACAAAAAATAAAATTAAAAAAGATGAGATCTGATAGGGGAGCAGCTGGATAAGAAAATCAAAAAAGGAACAGCAATTTAAAGTGTATGCCAGCTATACTGCAGGTTATTCTGACTTTAAGGTAGCATCATATGGCATACTTCTGAGTCCATTCCCGAGGTAAACTGTTGTACTTAACTCTGTTTTATAGATCCGTGCAATCTCTGGCACTAGGAGGTCATCTGGGTTTGGATCACATAACAGTGAACAGATGGATAAAAGAACTTTAGAAATAGTTAATGCAGGAGATCACTGTGATCTTAGAATATTGAGACAAATGCTGCCATTACTGTTAATATTTGGATGATAAATTCTTGCTGTACATGGGTGGTTTGAAGGAGTAGTCTGTAGGAAAATGAATTGTCAAAAAGAATACACCACCTTGATATGGGCTGCCATTAAGTCCTATAATTGTGGCTTGCCAATGAAACATAGCATCCCACATTGGACTTGAAGAACACTGTGCTGGAGGGTCACGGGCCAAATCACTAAGTTCCTATCCCTTTCAGCGTCATAGTCTGTGCTTTGCGTCTGGCTCTTCACTCTCTCGGTGTTTGCTCAAAGGTCTGGCCAAATCTCTTGATTACCCCAGTGGCAGGGAAGGCTTGTCTCTTGTCTCACACCGGCTCTGCCAGACACAGGCGCTGAGGGGCGGGGCCTCCCTCCGGCTGCGGCCTCCGCTTCCTCCTCATAGGAAAGCTGGGTGCCTCCCCAGCCCTACGGGGCTCACGCGCACGACCTCTGATTCCACTTTTATTCATCCGTTTATGTTGATCATTATATCCCACATATAAGTGAGATCATATAATACATATTTTTCTCCAACTGGCTTATTTCACTTAGCATTAAAGCTCTCCAGTTTCATCCATGCTGTGGCAAATGGTAAAGGTTCCTTCTTTTTTATAGCGGCGTAGTATTCCATGGTGAAAAGCATGTTTTTCATGTGGTTTAACCAATTTCTTTTCACGAAGAGGTTGATCTATAGAATATATTATAGGTGGGTTATTGTTAAGAAAAAGTATTTTTCATCTTTGAGTAAGAAAGTGCTCTGTCTTTGTTACTATTGACATTCCCTAAAATGGATGTAACCATTAGGCTCTCTGGTCTTTTCATAGTGACATCTTGAAGCATTGTGCTCTTGTTTCTGCCTGTCTTATCTTCATGAAATCAATAAACTGTAATCTGACTTCTGTCCTCACTCTATTGAAGTTGCTCTTCCTGAAGGTTCTAGTGGGTTCATGGTAGCCAAATTGAATCTCTTTGCAGTCCTTTCTTTTACCTGACCTCTCTGGTAATCTCATAAAATGCTCTTTCTATCTGGCTTCCTGTTTCTTAATATCTATAGCTATTTCTTTGCCTTTCTCCCCCTTAATCTGTTTTTTAAATTTGCTTCCCTATTTCTCTCCTCATTCTTAAATAAGAGAAAGCTCAGTTTGCACTCATAGATTCAGTTACTTCCTATTGACTGTGGCATTTCTATGCTTCTTTCCTCAGGCACAAAATTGAACCTAGCTGCTTTTACTCTGCATTATGTGTCTTCGTGAATTATACTAGTATAGTTGTCTAGTATCTTTCTTGTTTCCTTACTCTAATCAGTTATTTCCTATTGATTCACCCAAATTTCCCTCAGAACCATTTCATCTTTTTCATCACAGCTACTTCTTCTTTGGCCTAGGCCCTCATTATTTCTTGTCTGGGTCATTATAATAGTTTATTTATCGGATATCCTGCTTCTAACTTTGCTGCCCCCTTTTAGCCCATGTGCTGCATATTCATCTAAGACACAAAGCTGACCTTCCAGTTGCTCTCCTAATAGTGTCCCATAGGATACTATTAGATAGTAGTCTTCAGGATAGCTTTTTAACTTCTTACTATGGCATAAGTGGACCATCATGATTTGGTTCTTGCCCTTTCTAGCTATATCTCAGGCCCTTTCTCCTATGTGCATAATCTGCCATAGTGTTTCCAAGTTACCTACAGTTTTTTATGCATCCTAGTTTTTCCTCATCTCTGTGCCTTTGCACATGTGCCTTCTACAGGAATTTCTGGTGGTCTTTCAAACTGCAGCTCAAGCATTTCCCTTTGACATCTTCCCCTTCCCTATTTCTTCCCCATCTTTCCATGGTGCACTGGGCCATACTTCTATCACAGCACTTTGCATAGTTAATTATAACTCACTCTTTATACTTATCTATTCTGTAACACCATGGGCTCCTTGGTGTTACAGAATAGATAAATATAAAGAATAGGCAGTGTGCTTCTCATTATACCTTGATATAGTGTCATTACCAGTAGGTCTTTTTATTTTTCTGGTCTTTAATTAGTTTGGTGACATAATGTTTACAGTGAGTTTATGACCATTACTAAATATCTTCTTTTGAAAAAAAAATTTTCAATTTCAAATGCAATTGACATTCAATGTTATTTTAGTTTCAGCTGTTAAAATCTACTTCTAATGTTCGTGCCTAATGAACTGGATATCTGAATGTTATTAAAGGAAGCCTATATTAAATATTTGCAGAGTGACTCATTTAAAAGGTATTCATTTCTTTCTTATAGCTATACTGATCCTGCCTTTTATGAAGAATGTAAAATGGAATACCTGAAGGAAAGGGAAGAATTCAGAAAAACTGGAATTCCTACCAAGAAAAGGCTACAAAAGCTTCCAACAAGCATGTAGTCAAATACTCAATGACACTAACTCTATTCATGGAAATCACAATTACCTAAAAGAATGGACTCAAGGAATTGTGTCTGCTTATCCTAAATTATGAAAATATTAATTTTATCTGAAATAAAGTTTTTTTTTTAAATATAAAGTTAGGTTTATTAAATGAGATTGAATTAAATAGTGAAATGGGATATAGTTTGCCTGGTCATTATGGATTTTTTTAAAAAAATTTCCACAACTGTAGTTCTATTTTTAAAAAATATATATTTTTTTATTGATTTTATACAGAGAGGGAGAGAGCGAGCTAGAAACATCAATGAGAGAGAATCATCGATCAGCTGCCTCTTGCACACCCCCTACTGGGGATATGCCTGCAACCAAGTTACATGCCCTTGACTGGAATCGAACCCGGGTCCCTTCAGTTCCCAAGCCAGTGCTCTATCCATTGAGCCAAACTGGTTTCAGCTGTAGTTCTAATTTTTAGGGTTCCATATAGATCTTATCTTACTCTCTATCAGTGTAGAGTGAAGGCTAATCATGAGGCCTGATGTAACTAAAGGAAAACAGGAATGGACAACCGTCAAAGGAGTTAGTAACTAGGAAGTACAGCAGAGTTATTATGAAACAGGATCCTTCCTTGTTCTCTACTTATTAGCTATACAACTGGAAATAAGTCTCATACAGTTACTCTGAGGATTGGGTAGTGTAATAAGTACATAGAATAGAACCCTGGACATGGTAAATGTTCTTTAATGGCTAGTTATTATTACTAAACACTTATTTGGAAATATAGATGGTAGATAAGTATGTAAAAATTAATTTTTAACATCTTTGATGGCATTTTTTTCTAAATGTATCACTATACTCCTTGACCTATAATTTGGCTACTGAAAATACTTTAATCTTTTTAAAAAGGTCTTTATAAACCTAAATGACCATTTTATAACATAGTAATGGTTTCAGGTGTTAATGTAAAATTTTTCTGTCCCAATGCAATATGGTCCCAGGTTGAGCTTTTATATTAAAAGTTGCCCCCCTCCCCACCACCAATGAACTATTAACTTTACTACAGCCATTGCAACCACTTTCCAGGTAAGTGCATTTTATATGATACAGTTCTCATTAAAATCCCAAATAGAAATGACTATTTACAAGGACAAGATTTAACTTTGTCCCCAACCCCACTGAAATAGATCTGATATTTTTAAAGAACTTAAAACAAGTAAAAAACTAAACTATTCATCATAGCTTTTAGACTATTCATGCTTCTGCACACTCAAGTCCTCATTTACTAGACACCTGCCTCAGTTCTTGTCTTGCTTGCTCTTTTGTGCCTCTGCTGGTGTTATTGTGTTGTGACAATCCAGATTTTCTGCCCTGTAAGATCTACCTTCCCCAAGTAGGTTGTCTGGATATGATCATTCCTTTGTTTTCACATGATTCAGTTCTTCAGTTCTAAGGTCTGAATCCTATCCCCCTCCCCCATTTTGGTTTTCTAATGTTTCACATAGTTGTCCCTGCTCGGCTAATGAATTAGGTTCCATTTTGACAGAACCTCAGTTTTCTTTTAGAGAAGATGTAAATTTTGTTTTGGCTAATAGGGGATCAAGAGGACGGGATGAGTGGCTATTAGTTGTTAGCTGTGGTCTCTTCATTGGTATGGATAGAGAGAATTGGGATATTGTTAAAAAAGAAATTTGATTAAGAAATTTTCAAGGGAAGTCCTTTGGAGCAAGTTTATAAGCTACAGATGGGCCATTCATTTCTTTTGTAATTTTACCTAAAACAGAGATGATAAAGTATACATTTAAAAATTTAAGTATACATTAAAAAAACTTAAGGCTGGGTACAAATAATTTTTGGTTAATCTTTCTTAAGTAATCTTACACAACACTTATTTAGCACTTTAAACTGCCAGATCATCAACCACTAACTTTCTGTTTTGATAGCTACTCTTTTGTTTAGCTGGGAAAGCATTTTTCCACTCAAAAGAAGTTAGTTTAACAAGACAAATGTCTGTTATATGAGTTAAAATTAACAATAAACATTTAGAACCAGATCTTGAAATATATAACAGGCAAATTTCACCTCCACTTCAAATAAAAATAATTTTAACTTCTTTGCATTGTTCAAAACATTAATCAAGTCATTATCTCATGACTTATTTTCTTTATAGAGTAAAATTTCCAATCTTGGTTTTAAAAATGGCAAACCAGCCAGCTACATTAGAGATTAGATGTAATATATAGCCTATGCAGCAACATGAGAAGTAGTTTCTGCTGCTTTCATATTACACAGGTAGTTGCTTCCTTCAGCTAAAGCCTGGAGTCTTGTATTTGTTTTATGCAGATTGTATTTTGTTCTGTTACTTGGCAGGAGATTCTACTCCCTTGAGTCAGCTGTGTTCATTGGTCAGAATAAATTTCAGCATCTGACACCAATTCCATTAATCACAGACAAGCCTGAATAAGTGAGTAAGATAATAGAAAGACAAAAATATATGATGAACAGTGAACATTGTTTATGTATGTATGCTATTCAGATAATATAGACGTGATCTGAGATATTCTTTTGAGTTTAAGATGGATATTTGAAACTGTCTATTAAAAAGGCTAAAGGTTTCCCAAATGAAACACTTTTATCTGAAGCAAAGGATGTATGAAATCAAGTAATACATTTTATTACTAATATTCTTAATACTGCAGCCCTGAAAGAATTTAAATAAGTTTCCATGTGAAGCCATCCTTGTTATTTCTTTGTTTATAAATGCTAGGCCATTTAGAATGTTTGAGGACATTTTATAATTATACTTTATCAATATGGCACAGAATTTGGTTTCTAGAATTAAAATCCTTAAATCAATTAATTAAAAATCACTCAATAAGTAACACATTACATTTCAAAAAATCTAATAATTTATAAGCTGTTCTACATAATGAGTGAACATACTGTAGACCCTTTGAAGAAAATAAATTTATACAGTTATACCTTTAGATTTTCATTATGGACCCTGAAGGGACAAATTAGACTGAAACCTTTGTGATGTTCTACTTCTAACTAGTTGGCTTCTATAGTCAGGTTACTTCAAATCTTAAAATTCAAATTGCAATTCTAAACTTTATCAAAAACATTGTGATTAAAAATTTTCTTAAACTTTGAAACACAATAGCATATAGAGATGGAAAAACCTATATAGTATTATTCCACTATTTATTTGTATTTTTCACATTTATCAACAGGAAATATCTATTCACATTGCTATTTGCTCCTTTATGTAACTTAAAGCAACTTATATAAATTTTCTCTTACATTAATGGCCTCCTCTATTTTTAATGAATAGCTATTTAGACATTTCACATGCTTTGTAAAACCATATCTAAAAACTTTCAATTCCATACTTTATGTGAGGCCAAAATCTACAAACATTATCAAAGACAGACTGTCTTTTTGAAACACCTCAAGTTTATTAATTTATTAGTAGTATATATCTGATTTTTAGCCAGAATGTGAAGCTGGACGGTTGTTCTCATACTGGAAAATCAACTACATAATACATTACAGTATGTGCAAATGTGTACATTGAAGAACTTTGCAAAAGTTTAATCAAACCTGCTTTCAGTTTATTAAATAATTTCTCAAGAATACTTGCTGGAGTTACAGCAGCCTTATGACCAAGTCACAGATCTCTTCAGAATTAATTCTTATAAAGGCAGTTTTGATTACGTTGATCCAAGTTAAGTGGGGGTGGCAGGATGGGTAAAGTCAAAGTTTTATTTTTAGTTTCCCCAAATGCTGTTTCACTTGATTTAGGAGGGCTTGGGAGTACCCAAGAATTGTCTTCCAGAGAATTTCTGCCATACGAGTAGTGTTCCTGAAAGTTTGAACAGTCATGAGGAATGGGTCTCTCATTATCGGTCCATGATTGGAGAATTGCTTTCTCTGATAAAACCTTTACATCTCCTGGTAAAGGGGAAGATGTGGTATGACAAAGAGTTTTGCCATTTGGTGAGAGAGGGGGGTGTCTTTTGTATGTTGCAGTGAAATTCGTCAAGTGCAGGTTTGTGCTTTCTTTCCCAAGGTCTTCCATGAATCCTACAGGGGTGCAGGCTAAAAGAGAAAGTATAGGCCAAATGTCAGTTGTCATGGCATTTTTTATCATAAAATTAACATTAATTGGTTGAATTTATAACTGGAAGTAAAGTGAACATTTCCAAGTTAGAGAAGTCACTGCACTGTCCCAGGTATCACTTTTCTCACTTGCAAAATGGACAAAGCATAGTAATCCTATCCCGCCTGTATCACTGCACCATTAAAGGTGAAGTATTTAAAATTTCAAAAAGTGGGAAACCAATAAAGTTAAAATACAAGTAAAGATTCTGTTCTGGGCTCTTAATGGGGCGAGAGAAGGCTTGCAGACTTTTTACTTCAGTAGAGAATAAGGCTTTCCTTAAGTTTCAGTATTTATTATTAAATATCATATTCCTTTATTTATTAAAATCTTTTTTTTCCATAGGTGGTCCAAAAGCAAGTTTTTTCAGAAAGAATTATATTATGAGTTAGTGAGACCTAAATAATATGTGTTCAGGCTTTTATGAATATAATAGTTTAAGTAACATCTATAAAATAATCCAGTATTTTATTAAATACATATAAGTTCTGCTACTGTTACAGTATAGGCCAAGAAAATAAAACAACAAAAATGTCTTCAGTAAACATGTAATGGCTTAGAAAACAGACTGCTCTGAAGCTATTGTTTAGTCACAACCAACACAATGGTAGTATGATCTTTTGTTAGTCTTCCAATTCCCAGGGCAGAAAGATCATTTATCCTAAGACTAAAAGGATGCCAATTGCAACTGAGTTTGACTCTATAATAGATAGTTTTAGGACAAAGCAATTGAACCGCATTATAAAATAAGCTCCGTCTTTTTGCTTGGAAGGAGAGACAGGGGTGTGGGAGAATTGGAAGTAACACTGTTCAGCTTTTGGGACAGGGTGATACTGTAGTCAGGAAAAAAGGTAATCTAGTCTTGTCTGTCTACTCCTCAGAGCATTGAGTTTTGTAGTGAGAAGTGGTAGCCTCAAGCCTGCCACTGTTATACAAAATGTCCTAGGAAGCACTAAAAACTTATCACCAGCTCAGGACACAGAATGAACCATTTCTAAATAGGAGAGAGCATTCTTTATTATTATATGGAAATTATATTTATTTATTATTATTATTTTTTAATATATTTTATTGATTTTACACAGAGAGGAATTGAGAGGGACAGAGAGTTAGAAACGTCGATGAGAGAGAAACACCGACCAGCTGCCTCTTGCACACCCCCCACTGGGGATGTGCCCGCAACCAAGGTACATGCCCTTGACCGGAATCGAACCCGGGACCTTTCAGTCCACAGGCCGACGCTCTGTCCACTGAGCCAAACCAGTCCCGGCTGGAAATTATATTTATTATATAAATAAAGAGCCACACTGAAAACTCACTGCAAAATTACTGAACCAGTCCCTTTTAAGAGAAGTCTTATTTCTACCCTCAATTTATATTCCCTTATATATAATCTTGGCCACTAGAACACTCAAAGACAAAATGAACCATAAATTAAGTGAGGGCCTGCCAAAGCCCCTTATTATTTTGTTTTGATTCGTAAGTCACTAACTGTAGGAAATGAAAAAATTCTGAATTTAGTTTTCACAATATGCAACATTTCCGCCCACTAGTGTATACTCCGCCCACTAGTGTATTTATAAAATACAATTTTTTTTTTTTTTTTGCACTCTAGGGACAATCTGAAGTATAAACAGTTTAAAACTGGAAAATGATTATTTTTTATAAAAATTCATATTACTTTAAAAAGTAAATTTTAGGCATTCAAATTTATATTACACAACTTCTCAGAAATACAACTATTATGTAATAAAAGGTATAAATTCACTGATTTTTCTCTGAGGTATAGAAATAGCTTTGGCAAAGTAACCACTACTAGTTAACACAAAACTCTTAAAAGTTTAGCCAGCAACACAACAGTAAAATATGAAAGACAAAGCAATAAAAATTTTTGTTTGGCTGAAGGAGATAAGCGTCTAGCCTCTCTTCTAAATAACCTATCTTTTATGGACAGAAAAAAATAACTGCAAAATATGAAAACCAAATAATGAATCAAAGTTACTTTTTTCAAAACAATTCAAAGAGCTAGGTCTTTGGTATACTCTGTAATGAAAAATACCTTTGGGTGTCTTGGTGTCTTTTTTTTTTCTTCCCCAAATATATGTAGTAGTTGTGGTAAAAGGTCAACTAGAGCAAACTTAACACCTCAGCCTTATACACATAAGCAACACTTGGCTGAGAAAAAAAAGCCACAAGGGGAAAGAATACAGTACTGAAGAGAAAACACATCAGCAACACCTTTATGTGTGAAGTTGACCAGTATGAGGCTGAAGCCAAACAGAGACTGGGTAGGTTGTGAACATACTATATATACTTTGGCTTATCAAACTCATTTGATGAGATTTTGATAAGATATGATAGCTGAGTTGTTCTTCAAGCTTTTGGCTGGAATCAGTGGTTTCCGGCAAACATTGACTTGCCTTTCTTGATCGCAGTTGGGGTTTTCAGTTTTCTTAGTAGTTCAACTTGTACTTGAGTCACCAGATGTAAATTAGACATTTCTCTCTTCAGCTCCCAGTATACATTTTGCACATCGTCACTGAAATACAGGGTTTTAAAAAAAGTTAATGGTCATTCTCTTTGTGAACAGAGAAAATAACTTTAAAATAGAAATGCTTAGATCTGCATTTCTGCTTGAATTAGTTTTGATATTATGTAAATTAAAACTTCCTCATTAAATAATTGAAAGTTACTTAATTAGGGCATTATAACAAGTGAAAAGACTTTATTCATAATAATAACACCTACCTAATTTCTAGCAATTAACAGAACTATACTAAAAAGAGTATTATGAAAAAAAGTATTTTAACCAGAGTTTCCTATAGTTCTTGTCTCAGAATTGAGATTTTATCATAGACTACAGTGCAATTGTATAGTAAGGAGTATGTTCTTCATTTATAACTGATCAAAACTAAAGTGATGTTTATGTATGGGTTTTAAATTTTTATTTATCTTATGATTATTCTGTTTTGACATTGTGAATTGAAATACTCATATCAATTGCTGAATGTATACCCAGGCCCCATTAAAATAAAATTTGGGTTTCCTGTATTCCTTTCTTTTCTGTTTCACTGGGCTGTCTCATACTGTTGGTACTAAACCAATGTGACATGACAGCATTAAGACATGAAAAGCCAGATGATTTCCTGGTACGGGGGAAAAACTAAGGAGAGAGGATCATATGAAACAGAAATAAAAACTTGATAAATGCCTCTCATTTTTATGATTAAAAGTATTTTTACCTCAATAATCTGACAAATTATGATGTTTTAAACCTAATTTTTTATAAGTTTCATCTTCAATTAAATATTCTTATTTGGATATTCATGATTTTCCCCCCTTTTTAGGTTCTTTATTAACTAAATCAAAATCTACAACATATATTCTTACTTTGCTGTACTAAAAATACATAAAATATGAGAGTAAGAACAATTGTTACCAGTGTTCAAATGACCATTATTGTTTCGTATAGATTAGTGTCATTTTAGGAGCAATGATATCAAATTGGACAGACATGTCACTTCATGCTTTAATTTTTAACTAACTTTAAATGAAAACCTTTTAAAACAAATTCCAAGGAATACTACTTTTTTGTTTTTTTAATATATTTTATTGATTTTGTACAGAGAGGAAGGGAGAGAGATAGCAAGTTAGAAACATCGATGAGAGAGAGTCATTGATCAGCTGCCTCTTGCACACCCCCTACTGGAGATGTGCCAGCAACCAAAGTATATGCCCTTGACCAGAATTGAACCGGACCCTTTGGTACCCAAGCCGACGCTCTATCCGCTGAGCCAAACTGGTTTCGGCGGGAATACTACTCTTGATACTTAAATCTCATGTCCTATTTTAATCACAGAAGCAACAGATATATTAAAAAACAATTATTTTGAATTAGTAAGGTTACTCAGAATGCTTTCAATAGTAGCAGTGGAATACTTTCTCTGCCTCTGAGAGAAATTTGCAGGTTTTAGTCTGTTGTAAACAGCACTTATTAACCAGTAGTCCATTAAAAATCACAGGGATGTCCGGCTGGTGTGGCTCAGTGGTTGAGCATTGACCTATGAACCAGGAGGTCATGGTTCAATCCCCAGATCAAGTCATATGCTCAGGTTGTGGGTTCGCCCTCAGAAAATGAAGTATAAACAGTTGAAAACTTAGACAATTATTATTTATCCATTAATAATTTGCCGGAGGCAGTTGGTCAATGATTCTCATCATTGATGTTTCTCCCTCATCTCCCCTCTTCCTTACCTCTCTGAAATCAATAAGATATATATATATTTAAATAACAGGGCTTTTTGCAGGTTTTTGAAAGGTATAAATAATTACGTCACAAAAATTAGTTAATCACCTCTACTTCACCAGTAAACATCTGAGATGGTGCTACATTGAATATTTCACGTAGGAACCTATCTTCATTGTGAAGAGAGTTATTGGTCCTTGGTGCAATCCTGGGCATTTGGTGTGCTTTCCAGAGTTACTCATTACATAGCAGTACATATAAACACTGTATGTGTGCTAATAATTCATGCAGTCACAGTATGAATCATACTGCTTGAAAATAGTGTGCCATTACTGTCATGAGATGGTAAATCAGTACATGACTTGTAGAAAAGCAAATACCCAAGATAGTGTTTGGATACTGGAATATCAAACATATTTTAAACATTCAAAATAGCTAAGCATATAAAAGAGAATTATCATAGAGGTATTAAAAGCAATGTCTGATACAGATTTTCCAATTCAGTTTAATGAAGACTGCTTATACTAGTAGATTATGCTAAAATAACAGCTAGGTCACGAAGTTATCTAGTCGTTTTCTTTTGTCTTTAATGACACCTGGATTGAAAATTACAGATATAAATATCTGAAATTATTACTAAGAACAAGCTCTCCCTCTTGTGGATAACAAAGTAATGGCAGTTACTTTACAACTAACACTAAAAGTGCTGTAGTCTTCAAGATGTTACAAATTTAATTTTATCTATTTAAATACATCTACTTAAATAAAGTGTTTAAATATTACTTAAGTGAGATTAGAAAAGGAAAGCTGTCACCCACAAATCTTTAGCAGAGTTCCAACTAATCTTCACTTATCAAGGCATCCTTGAGATTATACTGCAACACTGACCCCCTTTGCCCACTCAACAGGGATTGAAGTTAAGTTTTGCTTTAAATGCCATGCAAGCAAAATCCTACTAATATATATGGTTTCTATAAAGAATTTATAAAACTACTCAAACACTGAGATGCAACACTGAAACATCCAAAATGAAACCCTAAAAACAAAAGGTGAAACAAAGAAAGTTGTTTGAGTGCTAGGCACTTCATTCGCATTCTCACGGCAACTTGGCAAACTAGGTTACCTAATTTTACTGGAGGAAATGGGTTCAACAAGAATTTACTTCACTCTAATGTGCTGCTGCTCAAAGGCGTTTTTTAGTTATCCAGTCTGACTGGCTTTGGTGGGATAATATTTTTCATATCACCACCAAACATTTATCACCCACATATGCATACTGTCAACACAACCTTATTAACCCCACTATAATATTTCATAATTCTAAATTTTAAGTGTAATGAAACCTTTTTATCCACATTTCAAGAAAGGGTAGATATCCTGCTTAAAAAGTAAAATTGTGTAAAAGCCCAGTTTTCTTAATTGACACTCTACATTTACCTCTGATTGTTAGCATTTTTTAGCAATAACATTTTTTAAAGTATGTTTGTAGTTTTGGTTTGTGTGTTTTTTGTTTTTGTTTGTTTGTTTTTCTGTTGTTTTTTTTAAAGACATATGCTTATTGCACACCTAACAGACTACTTTTGTTCTTATCCAAGGAGGATAATTCTCTTAGAATTTATGTTATACCAAAGACTAAGGCTGTCCACGTTTATCCTTAAGATAAGTGATACTACTGTGTAAGAAATGTATAGTTCTCTATGTATAAATTAGAATTTATTACAGAACACTTCTACACAGTTAACTCTCTAATATCCTAACTAAAATATTATTGAATGTTCAAAAATTTTGTCTTAAGGCATTACATTATGCACCTTTTACTATTCAAGTTCAAGCATATTTAAGTATCAGTTAAATGTGTTTTATATAGTGTGATCAGACATTACACGCAGTACCCATATAATATCCGTTTTTAAGGCTAAGTCAAAAACACACACACAAAAACAACCTAAGTACCTGTATACAAAAGTAGTCTATGGAAATAGTCAAATATGTATTATAATTGAATGCTGAATAATGTTCATACCTTGAAATGCTTAGTCTTTGGAGATCTCTGTTCTGCAGATTGTCTTCTTGGGATGGATCCTGTCATTTGTTTTAAAAAAGTTTAAAAGTTGTTACATTCTATTTATTCTCAATACCAGAGACATCTTTCAAATAGTTATGTCTATGACTCTACAGCATAAACTGGATTTGATGTTCAATTTTATAAAAATACCTCCAAACCTACATAAAATATTTCAAAATCAATTCTAATTATTTAATCACTGCTTTAAAAAATGCTCTTATGTAAAAGAATTTGGAATCTTATAAAGTATACTTCTGAAATCTAAAGTCTACATTCTAAAAAAGGATAACAAATAAAGCTCATTCAAAGTACATGTGAATGAATTCCACGAGAAAATGAAGTTTTATTTATATTTCACTTTTTGATATTTTTTAAAAGTACCAAAATTTAACAGGTTATTTTAAAAATATATCAGCCTAAACTTCCTCATTCTACATAAATAAGTCTATAAAATCTTTTATATATTTTTAAGTTTTAGTGGTGTAGATTATAGATATGACAGAAAAAAATAACAGATATTAAAAAGTAAATATGTTCAAGACAACTCTGTAATACACTTGTTTTCAGTGCATCCTCATTTAAGGATCTGTAACAAAAATCACCAGCTTTGAACACAGCATTTTAAAATACACATCCCACAATGTCAAGGTAAGATTTTAACCTGGAACCCTTGATGAATTAAGCATTTCCACTTTTCCTTTTCCTGGTTATTTTCTTATAATAGTTGTAAGCATTTTTAACTTTATATCTCACCTTTCCCTGCCAAATAAATAAATACCCATGAGATGGAGACCTTTTTATAAAAAGATTATTCACCCCCTCTCACCTTAGACTCTTAAGGTTTCTTAGTCTCTCAGATTCAGTTTCATGATAGTGATTTTTGTTCATGGGTATAACTCATTTGGTATAAGCTGAGAGAACAAAATTTAATTTTAATATTTTTATTTACTAATCTAAATATGTTTTAACATGGCACATTAAAAAGCTGTTAAGGACTTTGTGAGTACTGTAAATTTGGGAGAGTGAAATATTAAAATATTTTCTATAATAGGAGTTAAAGCATTTTTGGATCTCTGATTATTCAGAAAATACCAACTAAAAATACTTTTAAGGTATTATCTTGGGGAGCACAATAGGAGAAAAGAGAACTGGCCCAAGACTCACAAAAGATCCATAGCATATGACCTTGGACATTTTTCTTTCCTGTTCTCCATAAGAGATAAAGGAATCGGATCAGGTCACTTTTAGTTTCTTTGTATCACTGATTAAAAATATGCATTTAAATTAATGTATACTTAAACATATACATAGAATTGAAACCTTCATTTTTAAAAGAATAGTTTATTGGCCTTTTTTTTTTTTTTTTTTTAGAAAGAGGAAGAGAAATATTGATGTGAGAGTGTAGCATCAGTTGACATTGGGGATAGAGCCAGCAATCCAGTCCTGTGCCCTTGACCAGGAATCGAACCAGTAACCTCCTGGTGCATGCCCAATCAACTAAGTGAGCCACTTCATTTTTAAAGCTAATGATATATTTTTAAAATTATGACCTTTGGGTTGGAAAAATATTTTTTCAGCTATTGCCTAACAGTTCAGAAAAATTTAATGTAAACTAGCATTAAGCACAAATGAATTGTCTCTAATATTAAAAAATCCAGTTCCTGGCCAGTCATTAGTTTGCCAGTTTTCTAAAAGGCAGTATGGGTCTGTTTCCTAACTGGTGCCATATGATGTGGGAGTTTCCCATAAAGGGGTAGGCCCATGGCTTGGGAAACATTGCTCAAGTTAAACAGCTTCTTGTACTAGATGGGACTTCTCAGACCTTATAGTACACTATAGTACATTGTAAATGGGCCATTATTAGGTACCTAGACATCTACACCATCTCCCTTTTACTGACCCAGTGTGTCCTATACTTCTTTGGCAATGGTGGCTGTTTTCTCAAAATATCAACTATACTTGATAACAAGGGCTGAATATTGGGGGCTACAGAAAGTATAAAACAGTGGTCACCAACCAAAGGTCCACGGACCACTGGTGGTCTGTGAGGTCCGAAAGGTACCACTGGTCTAAAAGGACCATAGTGGCCGGGACCGGTTTGGCTCAGTGGATAGAGCGTCGGCTTGGGGACTGAAGGGTTCCGGGTTCGATTCCGGTCAAGGGCATGTACCTTGGTTGCGGGAATATCCCAAGTAGGGGGTGTGCAAGAGGCAGCTGATCGATGACTCTCTCTCATCGATGTTTCTAACTCTCTATCTCTCTCCCTTCCTCTCTGTATAAAATCAATAAAATATATTTAAAAAAAAATAAAAATAAAAGGACCATAGTGGAACTGACCCTGGAATCTTGACCTCATTAATACCAAACACTAATCAAATGAATTCACTCAATATTTAAGCACACAAACCAAAAAACACTATTATGTTCACGTAAGATGCTGTATCACTTTTCAGATGGTGGTATATGTTTCACAGAAAGTACTACCTTAAAAATATTTATAAATATGGCTATAGTAGATATAAGCAAGATTATTGTGAACATATATTTCTCTTTGTCTTGCTTTTTTATTCTCATGCTAACACCACCTTTGAAACAGCATTTTAAAATACACATCCCACAATGTCAAGGTAAGATTTTAACCTGGAACCCTTGATGAATTAAGCATTTCCACTTTTCCTTTTCCTGGTTATTTTCTTATAATAGTTGTAAGCATTTTTAACTTTATATCTCACCTTTCCCTGCCAAATAAATAAATACCCATGAGATGGAGACCTTTTTATAAAAAGATGATTCACCCCCTCTCACCTTAGACTCTTAAGGTTTCTTAGTCTCTCAGATTCAGTTTCATCAGTAGTAAGAAATGATAAAGTTTCTTCTATCTTTAAGTCTGTTTCTGTGATTTATGATAGATGAATTAAACTAAGAGCAAATTTATCCCCTAGCACCATCTAGTGGAAAAGAGTAATAATTCATATACATACAGTTATGAGCCAAGTTTTATTTTTATGATTTTATGGTGTTGCTTCCTACTCTATAAGGAAATATCTATTATGTATAAAAGCTATCAAATTATTTGAAGTAGAATATATAATTGTACATTCTGAGCTTTTGACAGTTATAATTCAGAGCTTCAAGGTGCAAGTACATATTTTTGAGAAGACTCTCAGGGCTACTGGCAGCTGGGCTTGTGGGAAAGGCTGCTAAAAAAGCCTTTGAAGGAATTGTGGAACATAATCACAGGTTCAAAGCTGGGAAAATCAACTTGAGATGGAAACATTTTGACTGTAACAAGAGTTGACTAATTTTTGTACTGTTTCCAAGACAAGTTCTTTGTTCAGTTCACAGGAATTCATTTGGTCAAGGCCAAGGCAGGATGCTGTATTACTCTTGACTCCTGGCTCATTCTTAACCAGTGGTCACCTTCGGTAAAGACTGACTATAGCAATGAGCTCTATATAAAGACAGTTGGGGTTCAGAGGCACACCCTGGCTGTCTGTCACGAAGTGTTGGAAGTAGTCTTCTTTTAGTTAGTGACATCCCAGAGGCACTTGGGGTAGGTGACTCAGCTCCTCAATAGTGCTGAAATACTCAGATGGGCAAAATGGTTGAGCTGAGAAATAATTATCCAATTAGGTACCTTAGTTTGAAATACATGACTGTATATATAATGCATATAAATGTTATCTGAACCTAGACTACTAAGTTTTTAAATTTCTTGTAATAACTTTTAAAATTTGCATTTGCTGCACTGCTCTCACACCACCCTGCTTCTCTATCATCTCTTATTTTTATCTTCAGCAGTTTGACATCGGAAAACATGTATCCAAACTTGTTAGAACACAATGTAAAGTATTGATATTAGTAAACAGACCCTTGGAAGACTTAAAGCTAACCACAATTAAGCAGCTAAGCAGGGTGTTTTGGGTTTGTTCCCCTCTCCCTCTTCCTCCTCCCCACCCCCATGCCCCAAATTCTTAAATTCTCAGCTATTTGCTGAGAATTAAACTTGCCCCAAAGTATCAGACTTCTGAAAATGATTGGCCTCTGTAAAGTCTTTTTTAAAAATTCTAAAAATCAAGTTCTCTCTTGTGGTGTCTATATTTATTAAATCAAGGAAAATAAAAGGAAAACTTAAAACCGAGCTCTCTTTAAACCAGAGAAAAATGATTTAAGGAAATTGAAGAAAAGGGAGTTTGAAAGAATAGCTTTAATAAATTGATAAATAATAATAAGCTTTATAAAAGTTAGTTTTTATACAACAAAATTTATAATTCTGGGATTATACTAAAGTATACAGTATATCATATTTCAGCACAAACAGAAGGATAAAGGTGAATTTTTCAGAGAATGTAACTCTAAGAATTTGTTAACTCTGTGATTTTTAAAGTTAGTTAAGTCATTCATACAATGCACACAGAATCTGAAATTCTCAATTTAACTCTGCAGTACCGTTTGTTTGGCTTTTTGTAGCTCTATTCTGAGATTGTTACATTCTTTCTTCATCTGTTCTAGTTCTTGTTCCAAGCCATGGATCTTCAGGTCACAACTCAACTTTTCCACCTCCCAGTTCGATGAAGGTGGATTTAAATTCCTTATCACTAGAAGAAAAAGGAGAGACATCACAATTTTTTTTTCTGTGTTCTACTTACATTTAAAAAGAGTTATGCTAGTAAAATGCAGATAATAGAAAAACTAATATAAAATATGTAAAGTTAGTAGTTTTTTAAAAACAGTAATTACTTTAAAAATATATGTTAATTAGAATAAGAAATCTAGCAAGTCTTGTTTTACAATGTATTTTTCACCCCTATCCCTGAATTTCTGTTTAGGTTAAAGTACAAATTGGTCAGTATGGAACTTCCAGATATATACTAGTCAAGCATATGCTAAAATTATAGACAGATCAATAATCTATATATAAGTCAAGGTTAAGATAGTGACAAAAATTAAATAAAGTGAGTAAACTGAGGCTCACTCTACTAATCATTCCACATAGTCCTTTCAGAGTATAAAGTTTGACACTGAGAACATTGTCAAAACAATTTTATTCATAAAACTTCCACTGTAGACCCCTCGATCAACTGAATACTGACTTATCCTGACTGTTCCTTAGTCTACCTAAAAAAAAGTCCCAATCTCCTATCAAAAGGTCTCTCAGAGGCCTACTTTTCAGCTTGTTTCATTAGAATGTTCATGTTAACATGCTATACTCATATCCCACACATCTAACTTTTCACCTTAGCAACTCATTGCTCATCTGCACATTTTAATAACCTTCAGAAATTAAAAAAACAAACAAACCAACAACACATAATTGTTAACAAGTCCACAACATGTCCAACAGTGGACAAAAGATTAGTGGGAAGAAAAGCCAGAACATACCAGTGGGCAAGAGGTTTTGACAAGAATGAGGCTCTACTTTCTTCATCTACTTTATCACAAACTAGCCCTGAATTAAAAACTTCCGTCTCCTCTCCCCCAAGAATAGCGCAATTCATAGCTAAGGAAAGTTAAAAGAGTTGAAAGCAGAATAGATAATATAAGCCTAAAAATTAAACAAGTTAAAGCTGTAGCATACAGATAAAGTAAAGTGATCATGGATATAACAGAGGAACGGAAAAATGTACTAATCCCATTAAAATATTTATAGCAAGTAAGTGGCATACCCTGCTGAGTTTCCACCTCTGTTCTTAGTTGGAGGAGTTCTACTTCTTTAGATTGCAGCTGTTCATTCAATACTTTCAAAGATTCAGAGTTGTCTTTATTCTAGTTAAGTAGGAAAAATGACAAATTACATTAAAAAAATTTGCAGGTGATATATTAATTTTCAGGTAGATGTTAAAAAACTGATTCTAGCTTTTTAAAAGTAAGGTGGGAAAATGAACTTAGTTTTTCACTTTTTTTTCTTTTTCCAACTTGGGACATATTATTCCCTGGCCTTAAAAAAAAAATACTGACAAATTCTACCATGTCCTGATTTTTTAAAATAAGTGAGTGGTGTTTGATGTATTTAAGTCCTAACATCATTATGTATACTATTAGAGGCCCAATGCACAAATTGGTGCATGGGTGGGGTCCAAACAGCCTGGCCCCAATCAGGGCAGATAGGGGCTGGGCCTGTGAAGAGGAGGAGATGGCGGGAGATTGGCCGGTCAGCCTGCCCCAATTAGGGGGATAATCCGGGGCGGAGCTGGCTGGGGAAAGGGGCCACAGGCCTATCGGGGTGGTGGGGGCTCATTGGGGGTAGGGCTGGCCATGGGGAGGGGCTGTGGGTAGTGGGCCAGCGGGCCCTGCCCCTGATCAGTGTGGGGAGGTGTTGGGAGCCCATCAGGGGTGGGAACGGCCAGGGAGAGGGGCCACAGCCAGCCAGCCAGCCCCGCCCCTGATTGGACCTGGGGGAGGGGAGACTGTGGCCCATCGGGGCGGTGGATTGGGGTATTGGGGGATGGATGGCCAGGGGGAAGGGCTGCAGGCAGTTGGTCAGCCAGCCCTGCCCCTGATCGGGGTGGAGAGGCCAAGGTAAGGGGCTGCAGGAGGTTGGCTGATTGGCCCCACTTCCTGATCTGCAGGTTTGCTGGCCTCCATGGGCATCATAACGACTGGTCGTTGCAGTCATTCCAGCATTCTCGTCACTGGGTTTTTATATATATATATTTATTTTGCATAGAAGTAAGTTGCAAACATTACTGTTAATACTTTCTTAAAAATATGTATTTTATTGATTTCAGAGAGGAAGGGAGAAGGAGAAACAGAAACATCAATGATGAGAGAGAACCACTGTTTGGCTGCCTTCTACATGCACCCCACTGGGGATTGACCCTTGACCAGAATTGAACCTGGGACCCTTCAGTCCCCAGATCAACGCTCCATCCACTGAACCAAACCAGCTAAGGCTATTAATACTTTTTATTTTTGCCTTGCGCATGTTTATTTTTAAATTTTTATTTAATAAATATTTTGTATATCTAACATCAACATCTTGAATGAAAAAATTCATTTGCAATACATAGTATCATTCTTTTCAAACCAACTTACCATTTTATCCAATTTGCTCTTTAAATTATCTCTGTCAATGCAAACCTCTCGATATGCATGATAGGCCTTATTTACTTGTTCTCGACCCACAGAACTTGTTTCTTCATCTAATAAAGCGTCTGTAAGCTAATGATACAGAATAAGAGAAAGTTTAAAAGGGTATTCTACATAAAACAATTAGTCTTCTCATGGCATCACATCTTACTTTAATCATTATAATACAGGGATAAAGCCTGGACTGTAATTATCTGAACATTTCACTTCCATACAATTAACCTTTACTGACTAAGAAAGCAAAAAAGTACAGAATATTTTTTAAAGTATTCTATTTTATGCTTTTACAGTAGAAGCTCCTTTCTCAAACTCAATTTGTTCTGGAAGGCTGACTGAAAAAGGAATTATTTTCCATATATATATATATATGAAATATGCTAATTAACCATATGCCGAAACGGGTCAACCAGACAGGAGGAGGTTACGTGTGCAGTGTAGGGGGTGGGGCGGCGGGGCCTCCACATGCCTGCACTGGAGGAGGGCCTGATCAGCAGCGGGCATGGCTGCTTCAAGGGGTGAAGAGGGAGGCAGGGCCGACTGGCAGAGGCCGTGGGGCCCTACACCGTGACATGAGGGTGGGCGGGGCCGCACCATTTGGAATTGAGTGCTGGGCTCCTAATTAGGAATAATGTAAATTGAATGAATCTCTTCCAGACCCCCAAATGACTCCCTATTTTGTTTTAATCTTTATTATACACAGTACATGTCTAATGTACTGTTTATTTTATAAATACTATGAATAAATGTTTTAAAAAGACATGAAATATAAACGAAAATTTAACAAAAAGGAAATGAAGTGTACACTAAAAATGAAAATTTAATCATAATAAGCAGCAATAAGAAAAAATATTCACAGCACAATTTCTTGAAATGTTACAACATAAGGTTTAGTGATAACCTGACTCATAATCATGCATTCTCTCCTTTGTCACCTGAGAGATGAGTGACTGATTATACAGGTATCAGCATGAAAGTTATCGGGTTGAGAAATGAACTGTTCAAAATGGAATATGTTTGAGAACTGAGGTTTGACTGTACTTATTAAAATATTTTATACTTTGCAGTATTTGTTTTATAGCATATTCATCTATCATACTAAAACACAGTACATCATTTTTTTTTAGTCTTTAGGTGTTTTCCAAGTCATAGTATTTAATTTCCATTACCACAAAAAATGTCAAGGAAAGGATGGATTAGTTCATTAAATTCTATATTACTCCAGAATGGGAACTAATAGATTATTGACCACAAACTACAGAAATATTTCCAATATTATTCTGAACTTTAAAACACACATAGCTACAAACTCCAAAATGTTACTTTTTCTCATTTTATCCCAGAATGTCACAAATTCATTTCATTACCATTAAAGTAAATTCATATGAATACAAAGAAATTGTGAATAATTTTTACAACAGACTCCTCTTATTCCTCCAAAAGAATTAAACTTTATCAAGCTCCATCGAGTTTTCACAAGCAGATAATTCATTTCCATGTTTGCTAAGGAACACATTTCCTTCCCCCTCTACTGAAGCTGCTGCTTGTGAAATACGAATATGCTGATCCGAAGAAACAAATTAAGCTAAAACTTTAAAACTCAAAAACAAATGGATAAGTGAGGAAAATGTCCTAATACACAAAGCCAAGTAGAACTGATGATTCATAATTGAATCATCTACCTTGCTTGTATATTTTACAACATTTAAAAGTGTCAGGTTACTTCAGGAGAAAGGTAAATAGATGAATTTATCAGTTAAAAAGCAGTATTCTTGTTATGTGTGTTCAAAAGCAAAAGAGAATGTTGAGGTAAAGAAGATGTAAGTCCTGGCGAAGATATTAAACATATTAAAACACTGTTCCAGGCGCTTTCTCCTTTGACACTTAATTTCCTTTATTAGCTATAACTTTTACACAGATTTTAAAATCCTGAATAAAAAATTTGCAATTATGAAAGTAATGCAATCTGAAAGAGGTTAAGAAAAATATCTGGCATATATCCCTCCAAATTGCTAAATCCTATTCTATAAATATTCCCCCAGCACAGCATATGTAAAACAGTGCTAGCTATCAGTACAATACTCAGGGTTTTGAAGTTAGCAGTGAGTTATCCTTGGAAATTTAGTACAACCATGGAAGACAGGACAGAAAAATATTAAATATTTTATTTTTTAAAAAATATATATTTTATTGATTTTGTACAGAGAAGAACGGAGAGAGATAGAAAGCCAGAAACATCGATGAGAGTCATCGATCAGCTGCCTCTTTCACACCCCCTACTGGAGATATGCCCGCAACCAAGGTACATGTCCATGACCGGAATCGAACCCAGGACCCTTCAGTTCCCAAGCCGACGCTCTATCCATTGAGCCAAACCGGTCCCGGCAAATATTAAATATTTTAAATATTTTCAAATGTTCATTGGGTCACAAAACGTAATGAAGGTAATAAATAATTACCTTTTCTTCCAAAAATCTTATTCTTTTCTTTAGGAAAGAGTTCTCTTTTTCTGAATCCTTGAGTCGTTTTTTGATGTCTTCATATGCAGTGACAAGGGCAAAATGTGAAGCGACAGACTCATCTGAATATATTGAGACCGGAGTCACTGTTTCTCTCCTATGGGCTTTTTCATGATTTAGAATGCAGATATCATCTTCTACCAGTGTATCCATGACAGCTATTTAAAACAGTAAATATGTATAATATAAATGCCACACTGAATAAATGAACAGGAAAAACATTTAGAAAAATGTGAATATTGAGGCGATGCTTCAAAATTCCTGTTAATTTTAGAGACAGTTTAGTATATGGTTAACAGCACGGACTCAGAAACCAAACTGCCACGGGTTTAAATCCAAGCTCTACTATTTAGTGTCTATGTGACTTTGAGCAAGTTACTTAACCTCTCTGCCTCAGTTTCCTTAGTTATAAAGTATAAGAAATAATAGCAACTACTTCATAAGTGTTTTTAAGAATATTAAAATAGTTGATATCTATAAATCATCTAAAACTATCATTTCAGCTATTAGTAAGTTTTATAAAAAGCTTGAAACACCATTTTCAGTCAAAGAATACAGTTTTATACTCTATACCCATATATTTCCTCATCAAAATTTCCATTCTTAGATATAAATAGCAAGTTTATAGCCTCTCAAAGTATAAATTTTCAAAAACTCTTTTAGTATAATTCATTACCTTATTATTAGATATTTTAATGCATACTCCACTATATTCTTTCCATATTAGTAACTGATTATATTTGTTATACATTCAAAGTAGGAGACAGAGGAATTAACATTTGAGTGTCCACTATGTCCCATACCATGTACTACATTCTTTTAATATTTAAATTCATGGTTGGAATTTGAAGGGTAAATCAATTTGCTCAAAATTAAATCTAGTAGAACATTAGCTCTGTGACGGCAGAGGTTACGTCTGTTTTTTGCTCATCATGTCCCCAACTCATTATTGTGTGGAAGATACTCAATATTGATTATTGAGTGAAGAATGATAAGAGAGAGGGTTCAAATCAAACTCTGAGTCTAAAATCTAAGAGAAGCCAACTATTTAATTAGTTAAAATATACTCACTCTTTCCATCTACTTTTGTTGTTAGATTCAGCATTACTTCCCCACCTGAGTTATATTCCTGAAAAAACACGATGGAAGGAGAAATAGTAGCTGAAACCTTTTAAGATCTTATGGGAAAGACAGGATAATAGGAACTGTAGGCCATAAGAGAACCTAAACAATCCTTTAAAATAAGACACCAAATAAAGCATTCTAAATGAAGACTCTCATTGGTGTTTTATGTATCTTAGATTAATAATTAATTGATGCTCGAAAAATATTTTTATTTACCAGTCCTTGCTTGAGATGACATTTGATTGCTTACTAGTGTCAGTCACTATTCTAAAAGTATTATAGGTGAAGAAACTAATATAGAAGAAATTTAATTTTCCATAGTAAATGGAGAGCTGAGATGTAAACACAGATGCAGAGTCTATTTTCACTCTGCCTATGTTTTTATGGAGGTTTCATTACATAATAGGCATAATTGATTTGATTCAAACTCCAGCTCCTCTCCACTACCCTGAAGTCTGTGGGACTATAAGTTCCAACCCTCTAATCAGATGGGTGGGTCTCCTGGCAACCAGCCATCATACTGAGGTGCTGAACAAAAGTCATCTCTCATCAACATAAACCCAGTCCTGTGGAAAGAGCTTGTTACACCAGTAAATAACAAGATGCCCATTTCACTTTTAAGGCTCTGATGTGATTTCAGGAATTGAGGATGAGACCAAATACATGGGTGGACAAAAGTAGGTTTACATTCATGAGTATGTGAAAATGTCTTCTTGCATTATTTTTAATTGCTGTAGTATTTATTTGTATTACAACTGTAGAGCTACTTTGCCCACTCCTGTATTATGACAAAAGATGCTCTCATAGCTCTTCCCCCTCAGCAAATTCCAAGAGTTTTGTATAAGAAATATTATTTTGGTTACCTGAATAACCAAATATATATATTTCTTGTAAAATCACATATTACAATAATAATGGAGAAACAAAACACAATTTGCCAGATCAGATGGATAGGAAACAGTTCCTGAGGCTACGGGAGAGGCATAAAGAAAAAAGTAGACTCAAATATTGTTAATCAGAATTATTTTTTAACATCTTAAATTTCAATCTTCACTACAGTTAACACTGAGGGGACCCTAAGTTGAGATATGTTACATATACAAGTGCGAGACTCTAGAAAACAAAGAAATACCTTCTGGACAGACTGGTCTTTTTTCTAGAATAAATATGATCATCTCATATTTCATCATCATATCTACCATTAATTGCTCCCTTACTGTATGTCAGGCACTGGTGTTTCCACATGCATTTCTTTCTATTTAGTTCTATTATTCTAATTTATAAACAAATTAATTCTAGAAACATTAAATACTTTGATTACAGATACATAACTAATCAGTGGCAAAGCTGGGATATGAACCCAAATAAGCTTCCAAATTTAGTATTTCCTTTAAAAATTTTTTCATTTATTGAATTTTTTTTTTAAGAGAGAGTGAGAGAGAAAAGAACACTGACTTGTAGCTCCAGCACTCATTGGCTGACTGCTGCTCTATCTCTGAATAGGGATCAGATCCCCAACCCTGGCATATGGGGACAACATTCCAACCAAGCTATCCAGCCAGGGCCAAATATATGCTTTTCTTTTTTAAGTGGATAGAGTGTCAGCCTACCGACTGACATTCTTAGAGGCAACATAGCATGGATTCTGATTTTCCCAAAAATAATCTGGACAAGGCAGAGCTCAGTGGTAGAAAGAACTCTGGCCCAAGATTCAGAAACCTAGATTCTAGTATACAATCTATTGTCTTGAGTATCACTTTAATTCCCCAGATCTAAATTTTCCCACCAATAAAATGATAGAGTTGAATTACATCACTAAGATGCCACCTTCCTAAATTGTGAAGGCAAAATTTTAATCTGAACATGGAATGGCAACCTATAGATATAAGGGAATGCACATTTTTGCCAGGAACTCAGTAAAAGGTATGTAATACTAGTCCCACACCAAACTTGGCTAGAATGGTGACTACCACAGATGAGAAAACTGAGGCTCAGAGGTGAAGTAAATTTGCCTAAAATCACTGATAGTATGTGACAGGTAGGGTTTAAATAAAGGCCTGTTTGTTACTTTCTTTTTTCTATTCTACGTTACCTCTTTTTTTTTTAATTGTTAACCATACTGCATATGTCCTCCTCTTTACCTGCTGCCCTCATCACACTATTGTCAGTGTCCACGAGCTATGTAAAAACTGCATTCTTTAGCTAATCCCTTCACCTTTCTTTATCCAGTTCCCCTCCCACCCTCTAAACTTTGTCATTCTGTTGTTTTTCTTGTTCATTAGATTCCACATATTAGTGAGATCAATGGTATTTATCTTTCTTATTTGACTGGCTTATTTCAGTTAGCATTTCTACCTCTGAAAAGCCAGAATATCCCTTCATAAAGTTAGTCCAAATACTATGAAGCAAGACTTAAGTCTTATAGAAGACGAACACTCCTTTCTCTGTTTTAATGAATAATAGATACAGGAATGGCCTAACGGTTCAATCTAGGTACTACAGCACTCAATTGCCCTATAACTCAGTGAGTGTCAACCAATTGAGCTTAATTAGCACCAGATATAACGTTCTATAGTATGAAAAACTTCATTCTCATTTTTATAACCCTCACTGAGTTATCTCACTATCTGCATCAGTCCAGAAATGAATTTGTGTGGCCAGGAATCATAAGAATTTTTCAGGGTTAACATAGGTATAAAGTGCAGTCTACTTCTTTTCATTCCTTTCATAAAATAACACATCTCAATGTAATTGAGCACCTATGTAGTACACTAAATGTTACCAGTATGAGCAATAAGTATTCTCTAATAGTGATATAACAGCTATAATACAGAATATAAATACCACATTGGCTCTGTTACTTCATGAATCATGAAAAAATGTCACAACATTTTATTAATCATGACAGCTTCTGTGTTGGTAATTAATATTTACCAAGTGTTTATAGTATGTCAGGCAATATGCTTTGTCTTTAAGGGAAACTCATTTATTTTTAACGATTCATTAAATCTACATTAAGACCTCTGAGGTAGGCAGGAAATTCTTATCACAGGTGGAGCAACTGAAAAAGACAAAAGTATAAAGTGTGGAAGCCAGAAATTAAAATCAACCAGTTGACTCCAGAGTCAGCAAAACTCTTAAGAGACTTTGCTTTGGTACCTTGGAGAGTAATCCTTAATTCCAATGGAGAGACAGAGAAAACGAAAAGATTTAATCTCTTAACCAGTGCAAAATGCATAAATAGAAAAATCAGCACTCAGACCCTGAGTGAATGTTATGACTTATTCCAGCGCATTTCCCATGACACTATACTGTCTCTTTAAATTAAAACTTGACATGTGTACACAATTTCCGATTTTAGAAACAGGAGCGCATTAAAACTTTATTTTTTTTCCCCTCATGAATTAAAACTATAACAACCCTGTGAGGGACGCACAACTCCTACTTTACACATGCCTGTAGTGGTGAGTGATCACAACAGGTTGGGAAACCAGATCCGGCATGTTTGGAGAACTGGAATTTAAATTATGCCACGAGATCTTGCTCAATCCAATTAAAAATTACAAAAATAAAACAGCGTCTTCCACATTGCAGAGGCACGGGTCCATTTCAAACGTCGCACAAGCCACTGTCTTTTATCACCTTAGCATATTTCTAACCACACATCCCGGAGCAATCTCTTTTTTTTTTTAACCTGTATCGCGAGTATCTTATTTGCGTTCCCTAACTGTAGGAACGGGGTCTCTGCCTACCTTGCAAGTTTGCAGTCACCCAGCAGAAGATGGAAGACCCTACAACGCACAGGTGTGACTCTGGCGAGAGGACACTCACCGTTGACCTCGACAATGAGGAGGGGGTGGAGTCCACTGCCCTCCCGGCCACGCGTCCCTCTTACGTTTTAGGTACAGAAGCGGCCTCAATGAATGAAATAAAGCCCAAGCTGCCCCCACCCCCCACCCCCCGGGACGAAAATAAGGAGAAGTGAGGCGAAGGACCCAGATGGGCCCGGCACGGCGAGGGTGCGGGGCCGGCAGCGGGAAGGGATGCCCAGGCGCGGGCCGCTCCGCAGCCGCAGAAAGGGGCCTGTCCCCGGGGCGGCCGCGGCGGCGGCGGCCGTTGGTCCCGGCGCTGCCCGCGACCCTCCCCGGGCCACAGCCGCTCGCTCACTCACTCACCCCCGAGGCCGGCGACGGAGGGCCGCGGAGTTTCGATTCCCCAGCGTTCGTTCGGAAACGGGTCGCCAGAGGTCACCACGGGCTTCCGGTTTCTTCGAAGACACCGCCGCTCCCCCGGCGAAGGCCGCCGCTCCGGGCACACCGCGGAGGGCTTCCCATCGCTTTGGCCTCCGCTGCACCAGGGCCGACCCGTGTGGGCTGGGCCCCGAGGATCCGGAAGGAGTGGCAAAGCCGGCGCAGGAGGGGCCGAGGCGCCGCTGCCGGGAGCAGGCCCGTTACCCAGCAACACGCGCGCGGGGCCCAGGACCGCAGGCGCCGGCCCCCTCGCTCCCACTCCGGCCGCTCCGCGCGGCAGGGAAACGGGGCCGACAGGGGCTGGCGGCGAGCAGTGCCCGGCCGGAAGGGGGCTGCCGCGGTCCGTGCTCTCGGCGCCGGGGCCACGCCAGCAAACCGGAAGTGGGTCGGGGGAGCCGGAGCTTGGACGGGTGGGAAGAGGAGGAGGTGGGCGTGGCGTACCACGTGTCCCGTGAGCCTCCGCGGCAGGCCTGGGCGGGCCGCGGCGACGCGAGGACGGGAGGCGGAGCTGCGGCGGGGTGAGGGCGCTATTCGCTGTGAAAGGTTCTCCCTTCCTCTAGCGCGTCCAGTTGGGGGGGGGAGGAAGGGCGGTCCCCGAGCGTGTGTGCTGCGCGTTCGCGCCGCTTGGTAGCGCCCTCCCGAGCATTCCGGCTGTCGCCTCGCGGAGGCCGGGGAGAACTGGGAAACCTGTGACCGCGCGCGCGCGCGCGCGCGCGCGCGCGGAGAGCGTGGGCAGCGGGTGGGGAGTCGGGGGCGCGCGCGGGGGACCGTTTACCCCTCCCCCGCTGATTCGAACCCTTTGGCGGTCGTTTGAAGCCTTCGCGGCGCAGTGCTGAACGTCCCATAGTCATTCCGCACCCTGCTGCCTTTTGAAAGATGAAATCGATTGGATTTAGGACCAAGCTTTGGGATTTCGGCATTTGTACCAGCCGCCCTGGACTGGCTGCCGCCTTTGGGTTTTTTCCCCGGAGGACATTCCTGAGCTGTGGCCTTCGGAGTAACCTGGGTGGTTATATTTGGAGGGCGCGGCCAGGGGAGCCCCTCAAGCCTCCGGGCTGTTTCGGTGTAAAGGAATAAACGAGAAAACGGTCATGACAGGCAGATTTCCCTTATTGGCCGCCCGCCGGCCACAGGGACGCTCCTCGCCACTCGCCACTCCCCCTCCTAGTGTTTTGTTGAGGGAGGGCTTCCATACCGTTACAGGCGTGCGTGCTTTTTCATCGCCTTTTAATTATCAGGCCCACTGTCAGCTCAGCCAGTGTTTCCCAAACTTCTCACATGATGAGAAGAATCACCTGGTGGAGTTGTTAAACTACAGATTCCTGCATCCCAACTAAGAAGTGCCAAACTGGAATTTTTGGAAACATATAGGTAAAATTTTAACTCCACCAGGTGATTCTTATCATGAGAGAAGTTTGGGAAACACTGGGCTAGGCTTCTGAAAAATTCACAGCTGTTAGGGGTAACGACCACTACTTAGTTATGGTGTGCTTAAAATATTTAAAAATCTGTATTCATGTATTCATTTAGAAAGTTCATTCGCTTCATTTAGAAAGTGCCTTTGCTGGGGCATGGAAGAGACCAGTGTTTTTAACTTAGTGGACAAGAATCCTGTTTGTTTGCTTCGGGAGCGCCACGTACGCATGTAATAGTTAATTCCTGAAGGTCATCCGTAGCCAATCAGGGCAGCGGAAGGAGGGGGGGGGGGGGAATTAAAAACCAAGCAGTATGTTTTAGTAAAATATTGAACAATGTTAAACTAAATCAAATAAAGAATATAAGTTAAGCTTCAAAACTAAAATGACAGTTTTAGTGTAGACATTTAATAACATGAGGTAATGTTTATAATATTGTTGAAGCAAATTGTCACGTTCTGTTCAAGATGACATTTATTTCTTTTTCTATTAAAACTACAATTAAAAAATAAAGAAAAGAAAATTCGCGCATAACAGAAAAGGAGAGGGTTGGAGAATAACCAGTGAACAACGGATTTCAGCTAATACTCTGAGAGGAACTGGGTGTGAGCATGTTGTCAGAGGGAGCCCAGGAGTTTTCAGCACAGAGCAGGCTGGCCAGGTGTCCACCATGGAGGCAGGGCTCAGTCTTCCCGAACCATCTCCGTGAGGCTCTGAGGCTTTTCAGTGGGTCTCAACCTTCCTAATGCCGCGGCCCTTTAATACAGTTCCTCATGTTGTGGTGACCCCCCACCATAAAATTATTTTCATTGTTACTTCCTAACTGTAATTTTGCTACTGTTAATGAATTGTAATGTAAATATTTGTGTTTTCCGATGGTCTTAGGTGGTCCTGCTAGCGGTTCTCAACCTGTGAGACAACCTAAGACAGTGGTCGGCAAGCTCATTAGTCAACAGAGCCAAATATCAACAGTACAATGATTGAAATTTCTTTGGAGAGCCACATTTTTTAAACTTCTTGTAATGCCACGTCTTCAAAATAGACTCGCCCAGGCCGTGGTATTTTGTGGAAGAGCCACACTCAAGGGACCAAAGAGCACCATGTGGCTCATGAGCCACAGTTTGCCGACCACAGGCCTAAGACCACAGGAAAACACAGATATTTATATTACAACTCATTAACACCAGCAAAATTACAGTTACGAAGTAGCAATGAAAATAATTTTATGGGTGTGGGACACCACAACATGAGGAACTGTATTAAAGGGTCGAGGCATTAGAAAGGTTGAGAACCACTGCAAAGAGAAGGTGGAGGGTGAATATGAGGTTTTTGGAGGTCTTTTATGCAATGAAGGTGCCTCATCTTTCCCATCTCATCATGCAGAAAGACAGGCAGTCCACGGTTTCCTCCTAGGCCAAAAGGAGAGGCTACTCTCTAAGAAATTAAAAAGAAAATTGGACAAACTGGGCAAAACCTTTAGTTTGTTTCTTTCCAGGGTAATAATTCCAGCTTACTCCTTGTATGTCATATTTGCTTTGCAAATTAAGATGTGACATGTTGAATCATGCTTTCAGTTTTGTATTATGCAATTTAAAATTATTTCCATTTACAAATTCTTTTTTCAAAACTCGTAAGTGAAAGGTTTCTTAATATTTGTGTAGTTATTCTTAAAACAATAATTATGTAGTTACTCTCTAGAACCCCGAGTAAGGTTATCACTTTTGACTTACTAGAATTATGACACATTTTTAAAGTGAGAAAAATAAATGACAACAGATAAATCATTTTGAATAACGAATTGAAATTACCTAATTAGACGGCTTGAGGTTCTATTTTTGTGTCTTATGATTTAAAGAAAGTGGTAAACTTAATTCTACAACATTCTATCTTTAAGCAAATGTACGATGTGACTTCCAAGCTAATACAGCTTACATAAAGGTCAATTGAGAATGGCCACATGTAAAGGAGAAATTACTAAGCTAGCCTGAAATTAATACTCTCCTTGTTTAACCTACAAATATAATTCTAGTCTGTTTATGGCACTATTACATTTGGTTGACAGTCTGAAGAGCTTAATTTTAATTATCTTAGTTGGATCAGTTATTTTCAATATACTGAATAAGCTGGATACTTACAGCCATCTAATATAGACCTAAAATATATAGATTGATTACTAAGTTTTGAAGCATTTAGCACAGTTAATCAGATTTCTAATTATTAATGTTCCCCTTGAAAAATTGTAAAGTAGAAGAAGAATATTGTTGCTGCAAAGGATATCAGCCTTTTAGTATGGAAATGAATTGTTTCTTTTTGTTCTAATTTGATTGCTGATATTAGATGAAAACCATCAATTATCTATCTACATTACTAACACAAAAAAAGAAAGTATTTATTAAGCATCTTGGAACATTTATAAGCTATCCAGTAGTATCTGTGCAAACTAATCCCTGAATGATAAAGATAAATATGATTTTGCACTGATAACTCTTAATAAATTTCTGTTGAATCATTAAATATGACCTACAGTTGACATAAAGGCACTGTTAATTAGGTAAATGAATGAACAATGTTATATTTATATCATAGAGAAGATTAAGGATAAATGCATTTTAAAACTTAGAAGCCAAATAATTAAGTTGTGCACTGTTGAAAAATCATGAAGATAAGACAAAATAATTAGAGTGTTTTCATTTTACATTGGATTCTGCATATATATATATATATTTTAATGTAACTACAACTATAACTCACTTTAAAGCAGGTTAGCAACAAAGTAAAAAAAAATATTATTGGTCTTTAGTGTATCCAGCACTGTAATGGGTTTTTTCATATGCTGTTTCATCATTAAAATTAAAATTTCATCCTATAAATTATTATTACCTTCATGTACACATGATAAAATTATGCTCAGATCATTTAACTGACTTGTCTTCACTTAAAAATTTCATCGGAAATGGAGCCAGAATTTAAATCCAGAACTACAGTTATTCCATTGACACAGCCATTCTCATTGCTACATGTTTTGAATATCAACACTGGTTAGGTCAGTCTAACTCTGAGGTCCATATTATTTCATCATAATATAAATATTCATTGCCTCTCTTTGGCAAGTATTTTTTAGATGCTGACAATATAGAAATTAATCTTTCCCTAAGTGGATTTTCACGATGTGATAAGTGGTATACAGAGGGTGTAGAGACTGCTGGGGCACATAGTAGAGGCAGTGACTCCTACTTAATCATTTTTCAGATTGTCTTACACCTCTGGTGGGCAAACTGCGGCTCGAGAGCCACATGCAACTCTTTGGCCCCTTGAGTGTGGCTCTTCCACAAAATACCACGGCCTGGGCGAGTCTATTTTGAAGTGGCATTAGAAGAAGTTGAAGTTTAAAAAATGTGGCTCTCAAAATAAATTTCAATCGTTGTACTGTTGATATTTGGCTCTGTTGACTAATGAGCTTGCCGACCACTTCCCTAACCAATTGGAAAGTCTCACGTGTGCTTTATGTGCTTCCACAGCATTTTGTAGTTGTCTTTTGATAGTGCTTACTATTACTTAAGGAGGGGCATCTATTCTTTGCCTGAGCATTGTCTTGCTCATATCAAACCCTGAAGAAGTATTTCTTTTTAAAATATGTATATTTTTATTGATTTCAGAGAAGAAGGAAGAGAGTGAGAGAAACAGAAACATCAATGATGAGAGAGAATCATTGGCTGCCTCCTGCATACTCTACACTGGGAATCAAACAGGCAACTCCGGACATGTGCCCTGACCAGGATTGGAACCGTGACCTAAGTCACCGAACCGTGCCAGCTGGGCAATCAAGAAATATTTTTTTCTTTAAAAAAATAAGTATTTCAAAACAAAGAAACATAATGGTCTGAAACTGCAGCAAATAAATGAGACAACAGTTTTAGATAAGCTTTTAGGTATTGAGGTGAAAAGGGATGGAGATTTTCTTGTAATGTAGGAGGAAAGTTTACCTTTTGAGAATGAGGAAGATAGCCTGAGATTTATAAAGGTCTCAAATAATCATTAAAGGTGCAAGAGGAAAAAGAGAAGATGAATGTGGAATAGCTGCTTTAGAAGACTATTTCTAGAAGAAAA